TTGTGTGTGTGTGACACGTGCAATGACTTGCCGATTCTGCAGCCTGCAACCCTTCGACCCGAGGCTGTAACATAGATGGGATGGATTCACTATTTTGTTTGGCTGAGGGCTAACCGAGAGATCTGCCTGTGGGAAAATTCGTGAGGGACATATCTGCAAATTTGGGAAAATCGCAGGCCCGTATTAATTTGAATTTCCTACAGCTACCCTATCTGCGATGAGCAGACCCGGGCTACCACTAGGACAGAAGGGCCTATGGGCCTATACTGCTAGACGGTCCTATAGCCTATAGCCGGGTAGGGGCAGGTCCTGGAGACCGAACTGAATCGGCACCGGTGAGTCCAGTCAGTCCAGTCTAGGTCGTGTAGGGAAAACTGTTCGAGGCTTTTGGCAGTTGGTATTGTGTACATTGCTGCTGCGCAACGCATGAACTGGTGGTGGTACAACTTCAGTGTTGGAGGGGACAGACATAGCCGGACCTTCGAAGCATCGGCCATAGCTGGGACCTGCGCTGTTCTCTGACAGCACGCGGGGCTGTTAAGAGGTCTGGGCTATCTGAAGTCTGCTGGAGGCAAGAGACGTTGGTGCCCTGGTGAGCCCTCCTCAGGAGTAGGGTGTCAGGGTGTGTGGTGCTGCAGCCATAGCTGGAGCTTTCATCCTCAGAGATCATCTTTGTCAGGAGAGGTGGCGCTGCTGCAGATTTCCATCCGGGAAGTCTTCTGGCACTTCATCATCATCAGAGACTGTGGCGCTGGTCTTCTTCTTCATCCTCTGAGAGGCACTTGGCCTCAGAGGCCTGTGTCTGGGTGGGGCTTCCCTCTGTAGGCAGTATCTGGGTGGCGCTGGTTGTTTCAGGGGATCAGGTGTAGTGATAGCGGCTACTCAGGTTGGGGAAAGAAGCGCTGCTCATTTCTGAGCAGCGTATCACAGTTTTGGGGTTATTCTGACAAATCGAGACTCCGAGTTTAATAAACATTGTTGATACTGTGTGGGAACTATCTTTGCTTCATTGTTTCCTGGATGTGATCTACTCGACTTTCCTTTGTGACTAGTTGTGAGGATTCTGTGGAGTGAATTTGCACTTTCGGTGTACTCTGTCACATCGCATGGCTAAGTCTTCCGCTGTGTTTCTATCTCCCTGTGCAGTGCGATACTCCCATCCTCTCCCCTCCCTTCTGTGTATGTATGGGCATACCTGGAAGTCTATGTGCGTGAGTGTTGGTCTTCAGACATCAAACAACCAGATTCATAACAGTTGGTATCAAAGCGATTGGATCCAGTCAGTGGAGGAATTGATGAGTTGGAGCAACTACCATCATCTGGCGAGACACTGGAGTTGAACTTCATGGCGATTTATGATCTTCTGTGTTGGTGGCAGTGAGGGTGGTGGTGGCAAGTGTGTGGCGAGAGGTATTGGACAGCGGGTGATTCACTCCTATTCAAGGTGGTACAGGAGTGGGTGGCGATTGGTACCCAGAGGCCTGGGAGGCTTTGAGGAGGCTAATTTTAGCCTGGCGATTCATTTGAGACTGGCGATTTGCAAGGAAGTGACCCCCAAGGTGTTGCGATTTTGGGATTGGGGTCAGGATCCCCAATTCCCGAGTAGCGCAGGGTTGATTGGAGTAGCGCTGCACTGAGGTTATCAGTTATTGGCATCTGGGAGTCCAGATTCATTGAATCTGCCAGTGAGGGGTGAAGCGCAATAGGGAGATCTACAGAATCACCACAGAGGATTTTGTACGTGGGAACACTGGTATTGTCAGGAGAAGAAACTGGCGAGATGGGTCTCAAGAGACAGCCATAGCGAGGGTTTCATACATCCCCTTCAGAGATATCCTTGAAGTAAGTGTGTTCCTTACTCTACTCTGTGTGGCGATTTTGGGGCTATTTTTAGATTAGTGAAATTTGGCCTGTTAGTCAATAGACAATTGAAAATCGAAATTCAGACTGTGAGACAGCCATAGCCAACTTCCCCTACCTATCGTCTTTGACTTCTACTAACCCTGTTTGACCCTCTCTCTAACTCAACTTTCATATTATATTGTGAATTGGATTGTTCAGGGTCATTCAGTCAGTGATAATGGAAATTTGAATTTTGCGCTGCCATAGCTGGAGCTTGGTCAGACTAGGGCTGGTCATAATTTGGGTTTTGTCCATCAAAATTCAGTTTTGTCAGTCCCTGGGCAATCGCAATTCAGTATCCAGCCTGTGTCTGAAATCACATTGTCAACCCATACTCCTAAAGCTTAGTCGCCCTCCCCGTGACACTGCGCACCGAGCCGGTTGTTTTCAGGAACGTTGGGCCATAGGATCTTGATCTTTGCGGCTGCTGTTGCTGGAGAACTGAATTCTTAACGGTTTTGCGAGCTCTGCTTTTGCTGCACGTCGGCTTTTTGGGGTGCTGTTGTGTCGACACGTGTGTGCCCTCTTTGCTCTTTGCTCGTGTTTGTATTGCGTTGCCGTCGTTGATTTCTCCGCTATCTACCGATTTCGCCGTGATTTGGGGTGTGTGGTGTTTGTGCAGTGTAGCGGCGTTGTGTTTTTTTGGATGGATGTGGTCTCGATATGAGATGCGATGCTCTTGGGAAAGGTTCAGCATCCTCTGTGGTTTGTGTTGCTCTGGATGTGGTCTTGATATGAGGCGTGATGCTCTTGGCCGACATTCGGCGTCCTTTGCGGTTTATGTTGCTCTGGATGTGGTCTCGATATGAGGCGTGATGCTTTTGGCCGACGTTCAGTGTCCTCTGCGGTTTGTGTTGCTCTGGATGTGGTCTCGATATGAGGCGTGATGCTCTTGGATGACATTCGGCGTCCTCTGCGGTTTGTGTTGCTCTGGATGTGGTCTCGGTATGAGGCGTGATGATCTTGGATGACATTCGGCGTCCTCTGCAGTTTGTGTTGCTCTGGATGTGGTCTCGATATGAGGCGTGATGCTCTTGGCTGACGTTCAGCGTCCTCGATATGAGGCGCTCTTGGGCGAGGTTAGGCGTTCTCTGCGGTTAGTGTTCCGATGCGGCAGTGTTCTTTGTCCCGATTCAGCCGGCCCTGGATTTGGTCTCAATATGGGGCGCGATGCTCTGGGGTGAGGGTCGGCGTCGTCTGCGATTTGCTTAGCGTTCGGATGCAGGGCCTTTCGTGTGTTGGGGAGGTGGGAGGGCGGGGGGGCTGGGGGTTCTTTGTCTGCATTCGGCGTGCATCTGGTCAGGTTCCAGGCCCGCATTCGTTGTTTGTTTAGGGTTCGGAATGGCGAGTTCGGCGGCCTCTCCGGTTAGTGTTTCGGGAGGGGGGGGGGGGTGGGTTCTTTGTCTACATTTGGCCTGCATCTGGTGAGGTTTCGGGCCGACATTCGTTGTTTGTTTAGGGTTCGGAATGGCGAGTTCAGCGTCCTCTGCGGTTACTGTTTCTATGCGGGCCCGTTAGTGTGGGGGTGTTTGTTGTCTATTCACCCGCCCCTGTGGGTCGTTCGGTTGGCCTGAATGTGCTGTGTTTTTGGCCCGGGTGCATCTGCCGTGTTTTCTGCTGGTCCGCTTTTCTTTGTCACGGCGCGGTGGGGGCGATGCTCTTGGGCGAGGTTCGGCGTCGTCTGGGGTTAGTGTTCCGATGCGGGCCGGCCTTGGATGTGGTCTCGATATGAGGCAGGATGCTGTTGGCCGAAGTTCGGCGTCGTGTGCGCTTACCAGTTGGGAGGGCGGGGGGATTGGGGGTTCTTTGTCTACGTTCGGCGTGCATCTGGTCAGGTTCCAGGCCCGCATTCGTTTAGGGTTCAGAATGGCGAGTTCGGCGTCCTCTGCGATTTGTGTTCCGATGCGGGCCCGTTGGTGTGGGGGTGTTTGTTGTCTAGATTCAGCCGCCCCTGTGGGTCATTCGGTTGGCCTGCATCTGCTGTGGTTTTGGGGCCGGGTGCATCTGACGTATTTTCTGCTGGCCCGCTTTCCTTTGTCACGGCGCCGTATCTGTCGGCGGTTGTGGTGGGATCCCTGGGGGAAAAAAAAAGTCGCAAAAGTTGACAGGTGGTCCTGCAGTTTTTTACCTGGTCGTCTTCCTCGGCAAGGTGCGTAGTCTCGGGGCGTTG